GCACATACATATGAGCCTAACTACATGTGCAGAGTGGTGGCTGTTTGGGGGTGTCAATCCCTGACCCCCTTTGATACTGGCTCTCCTACAACCAGCACCCTTGGTGCCCTGGCGCCCCCTGCCCCCAACACCAATTCATTTATCTTTTTATGCTGCCCCTCACAGCAACCTGATTAAGGGGTGGGCCTGTGTGGGGCCATCTGCTGCTGCATTGCCTGCCATCTCTCCCCCCGGGAGCCCTGGGAGTCCCCTAATGGCCCCAGAGTTTCCCGAGGCAGAAAATGGGGCTAATCCCATTGTTGGGAAATCACATGCAGGAGCTTCGGTGTTAAATGATTACAAGCGTGAAGACGGATTTTGAATCTTACGCAGCGATACTCTGCATGGTTTTACTTCTGCTTCCAGTCATTTCTTCTCCGGTTTTGCATAGTCTAGTTTGGTTCCAAAAACGGAAAAGATAAGTAATAGGAAGGTAGGCCTGTTTCCAACTTGTGATGCTTTTTCTTGTCACCTAGAATAATAAGACTCCCTCCATCACCCCCTAAGAGTGATTACAGGCCCTGCCTGGGGGCCTTTCCAGCCTCGTGTTTCTCTCTCTTATCCCACATGACTCAGCTCTATTTTTCTCCGCTGCCCCTCACTAGACGGTGAGGTGCTGACACTGTGTCTGGCTCATGGTCTCTCTGAGGACGTAGGCAGCAACTTCACCTCTTTGAGCTTAGTTTCCTCATCCACAAAATGGAATGTAATCGTGTCCATCTCGAAAGGTGGTTCTGAGGATTAAATGAAATAATGAGGACAAAGCACCTGACAGATTGCAGGCCAGTGATGGCGAACCTTTTGAGCTCGGCGTGTCAGCATTTGGAAAAACCCTAACTTAACTCTGGTGCCGTGTCACATAGAGAAATTTTTTGATGTTTGCAACCATAGTAAAACAAAGACTTATATTTTTGATATTTATGTTATATATTTAAATGCCATTTAACAAAGAAAAATCAACAAAAAAAATGAGTTCGCGTGTCACCTCTGACACGCGTGTCATAGGTTCGCCATCACTGTTGTAGGCCCTCGGTAAATGGTAACCATCTTATAATGCTCTAGGCACTCTGTAAATGAATGAATAATTTGTTAGAAGAGTTGACCCTGAGCTTTAATTCAAGTCATTATTAAACAAAACACATGCGAGTCTCCAACCTCCAGTCTCTCCCTATCCCCACCTTTCACTGCCCAGGTGGCCCAAGTCACCCGACCACAGTCCCTTCCAGGCCCCATCATCACATCGCTCCCCTGGTTGCTGGCCCAAGCCAGTGACTGACAAGACTGAGTTTTGCGCTGCATGAAGACATTCTAGAGCCCATTTTGGAGGAGACCCCTCAGTATTCATGGCCTGAAAAACATTCTCACATTTTCTCAGACTCTGAAGCCTCTGAGCAGCCTACCACTTCCTTAGAGCTAGCAGGCCGCTGAGACTTGTGGGAAGTAAAGTGACACTGTAAACAGGAAGAAAGGCACTGAAGCCATGAAAGGTTCGCTGTGCCTGGGTAAGTGAAGTCCATAGTTCCCCTCACCAGACCGCCCCCCCTTTACTGCCAGGCTGACTTTCCCTGCTGAGCCCCTGCGCTCCCGTGACCTCAGGTGGGACAGAGCGCAGACAGCCAAAGGCTGAATTGAATGAGTATCATTTCCAGTGAATCATTAGCCAACAAGAAACAAACATGACATTAAATGGCACCCAAAATGGCATCCTGGGCGTCCCCTATTTAATATTTATGGTCAATATTGTTTCATCATTTCTGAGATTTCTTCATGGTCCACGCTGTCAGGCTTAGGATACATTCTTGTTTCCAAGCCAGGAAAGGATTTGCAGCTTTACACATGGTGACCATCAAGAGTTTATCATACACGAAAAAGGTGCTTTCCCCCAGTTATTCATGACAAGTTCTTAGAAATAGAATTGCTAGATCAAAGAGTAGCAGTGTTAAAGGCTTCATTCACGGATTTATGTATTCAACAAATATGCACTGAACGCTGCTGATGCACCAGGCACTGCGTGCCCTGAAGTTAGGCGGTGCCCTGCTGTGCTGACCCGGGCGGCACGCTCCCCGCATCTGCTAACAGTGGATGCTCTCCCCACTCGGGCAGGCTACATGAACATAGTAATATATTCCCAACAGCTTAAAGATTTAAATGTAATAAGTAAATACATAAATGTGCAAAGAAAAAATGACAGGTAGATATTTATATGATGGTGGCAAAAGGGAAGACTTTAAAAACATAACCTCAAGAGTAAACAGGCTCAAAGAAAAGATGAACAGGTTAGGCCGTGTGTAAATTTAAAGCTTTTACATGGATACTAGTATATAGATATGGATTTGCATATATCCATATCTTATCTCTCTCTGAATATGTATGTGGATCTACATGGCGCTATATCCATATATAAGGCAAAAGACAACCGGGAAAAATACTTGCAAAGAATTATTATCTTTTATTTTTCTCTCTAACACGTATAGATTAAAAATTAATAGAAAAAAGAGAAATGGAAAACTGACTGTAACTGCTATGTGTTACTTTTATAATTAAGAAAGTGAAGTCAAGAGTGTTTGTTCAGCAACACCAAGGTCATGCTGAACTGATCCAGCCTCCAAACCAGGCACCGGGGACACAAAGAGGCTCAGAAGCCACCTCTGCCTTCCCAAGCCTCATAGATGGACTAGAGAACAAATAACCAACAGACAAGCTGGTACAGGGAAGTCCCTGGGCACCAGCGAGGCAGGGGCCACCTCTGCAAGGGGAGGGATGTCAGGGAAGAGGACGCCCCAGCTGGATTTTCAAACAGCTTCATCAGGTTATCATTTACCTAACGCAGAATTCACCCCTTTTAAATGCACCGTTTGATGAGATTTAGTAAATTTATGCAGTGGCGCATCCATCCCTGAAAGATGGTTTTAGAATGCTGCCATTTATATGCTCAATTACAGCAAGTCCCCCTCCCTCTCCAGGCCTAGGCAACCACGGACCTTCTTTCTGTTTCTAGTGTCTTGTCTAGAAATTTCATGTAATGGGATCATATAACAGGCAATGTTTTCTGTTTGGCTTCTCTCGTTTAGCATGATATTTTTGGGATTCATCCATATTGGCTCATTTCCTTTTACTGCTGAACACTGTTTTATTGTGTGGATTAACCGATTTTGTTTATTCATTTATTATTAATGAGCATTTGGATTATTTCCAGCTTTTTGGCTATCAATTTGTGTACAAGTTGTAGGTATATGTTTCCATTTCTCTTTGATACTTCAGAGTAAAATTGCTGGATCATATTGTAAGTGTAAAAGGCTAACTTTAAAACGTGTTTGTTTTTTTCCAAAGTAACTGTACCATTCCCATCAGCAATGTTTGAGAGATCTGGTTCCACATTCTTGCCAGCATTTAGTGTTAGCAGGGTTCTTTGTTTTGGCCATTTTAGTGAGTATATGGTTGTATCTCACTGTGGTTATAATTTGTACTTTTCTAATGCCCATCTTTTTATGTGCTTATTTGCCATTTGTATATATTCTTTAGTGAAGTGTCTATTAATATTTTTCCTATTTTAAAAATTAGTATTGCCGAAACCGGTTTGGCTCAGTGGATAGAGCGTCGGCCTGCAGACTGAAGGGTCCCAGGTTCGATTCCGGTCAGGGGCATGTACCTGGGTCGCGGGCACATCCCCAGTAGGAGATGTGCAGGAGGCAGCTGATCGATGTTTCTCTCTCATCGATGTTTCTAGCTCTCTATCTCTCTCCCTTCCTCTCTGTAAAAAATCAATAAAATATATTTTCATGCACTGGGTCTCTAGTATTACAGTAAAAGTGTTTGTTTACTTTTGCACAGTGGTAGGACTGTTAATTTTAACACGTCTGCTAACAGGAGACATCTGAATTTGAGACCAGATGGGAAGAAACCACTTTATTTGTAATACAAAATGGAACTTAATACATATGCGAAAACAAATATATACTGCAAGCCACTTCTCTGGTTTCTACCAGTGTCCACCTTGTCTAGGTTACATGGTTACCCCAGAGACTAGAAACACAAATAACACGCACAAATCCACGCAGAGAATATGCATATTCTGCCCCACCCCCAAGTTGCATACACTTGTGTAAACATTTGCTGATTGGTAAAACATGTCCAGTACTGCAAACACATGTGCAGGGGTGGGGGTGGGAAGAAATGAAGTCACTGAAACAGCAAAAAGGTAGTTTACCTGGCTGGGTCATCAAGGTGGCGTTCAATAAATTCCCACAATGCCTCGAATGAGGGAGAGGGAAGAGGAATATTCAGACGCAATGGTGTTTGTTTTTTCCCCTTCTTACATTAATAAAGCCTTTACATTTTTTTTTTTTATTGATTGATTTTACAGAGATAGGAAGGGAGAAAGAAAGGGAGGGAGAGAAACATCAATTTGTTATCTCACTTATTTATACATTCATTGGTTAATTCTTGTATGTGCCCTGACTGGGAATTGAACCTGCAACCTTGGTGTATCGGGAGATGCTCTAACCAAGAGAACTTCCCGACCAGGGTCAAGCCCCTCCCCACTTTTTCCCACCTGTAGTAAAACTGAAAAGGATATCACAGACCAGTTTAAGTTTAAATTTTCTTTTCCGAGTCCTCTGAATAACAGCAGCTCTCAAAACCCTACTCCAGCTTAGCGGCTAACCAGCAGTGTCACTGTGAAGATTCTACCTTTCAGAACTTCAGTTTCTCCATCTGTGATTGGAGGCCCCAGATGACATCCCCAACTCTGCTTATCTAATCTCCCAGACCTTCATCTGTTTCTTCATTGAAGATAGTCTGATATTTTCCAGTGGGGCTGGACTGTCCTGGGTATTTGTAGTGGTGGTGGGGGGGAGACAGGGGACTGTTGCTTGCATGCTCAGCATTTGTGGGAAAAGGAGATGCCCTAGCCAGCTTTAGAAGGCACAGAACCAGGTTTGTTGTTGTGTGTGTGTGTGTTCTTAGTTATAGTCAGGTCTTTATTTAAGAATCTCATCTGCCAACTGAGCACTTCCCACCAACATGGGGAGCAGAAACCTTCACAGGCTTCAACCCTTTGCTCAGGCACAGCCTTTGTGGGAGCCCTAGCAGCAGCCAGTGCTGTCTTTTTAGGCGCTTGCTTAGCCTTTTTTGCTTCCTTGGCAGCCCTGATAGTTTGTTCCCGTTGAGCTTTCCTAACTTCAGGTTTCTGGTTCCTCTTGGCCATTATATCAGCAAGAGATGCACCAGTGACGGCCCTCTGGAATCTGACTGCACGGCGGGTCTTTTCTTTTGAATTTCTTCCGACTGTCCGTTTTTGTGCTTTCTTCCGTAGAGGACAGTCCAGTTTATCTGCCCAGGATTCCTCTTGGAAAGGAATGCCGACTAGCATTTTGCATTAAGAAACGGGAAAACCTTCCCGTCGGTACTGGCGTAGCACCGCGAGTGTCCAGGGTAGATCTTGTAACTGAAACCGCAGAGCTCGACCTTCATGGCTGCGGCCGCCGGAGCGCAGGAAAGATGGTGAAGAGCACAAAACTAGGTTTTGAAGATGAAGTAAAGTCTTCTTCTGACTCAGGAGGATCTCAACATCCTACTGATCATTTCACTCTCAATGGTCCTTAGAGAAGCATTTGCTTAACTCTACATCCAGGCCATCGCGACCTCCGGGAGGAGAGGGCACCACCTTCGACATTAAGGCCATGTGGGCGGGTGGGTGCAGATGCAGGGGTGGTGGTTCAAGCCGATCCAAACACTGCATCATTAACTGCGAAGAGTGAGTGCAGTGACCGGTTCTCCATTTGTTCACAATTACTGAGTGCCTACTCTGTGCCAAGGTCAGAAAACTGTGAGAGCTCATGCCCAGAGCCTAACACAGTAGGTCTCAATCAAGGGTTAGAGCAGAGGTTTGGAAAACTACAGCCCAGGTGAGCCACCTGCTTTCAAAATAAAGTTTTATTGGAACACCAGCCATGCCCATTCATTTAAGAATTGTCTATGGCTGCTTCTGCTCTACCATAGCAGGGCTGAGCCCCTGCAGAGCATATGGCCTAAAATATTTACTATCTGACCCTTTACAAAAAAGTTTGTGGATCCCAGTGTTAAAGGAAAGCACTAATGCATAACTAAGAACTGAGAGAGGTGATCAGGGAACAAATGATTTGCAAATGAAGAGAGGGTGGGGGGGGACTGGCTGAATTAAGGACAACAAAGGACATGGATATATGAGGCTTGATCACCCTGAAGAGATAAGTCACAGTAAAACTGCTTGGGACTTACATTTAATATATGCAATTTAACTGCATGCAACTGGTTTAAAACAAAAAACTACTACTCGATCTGCTGCAAGTGGAAAAAGAGCAATCAGCCCCAGCTTCTAAAGGGAACTGGCCGTGACAAGCCCACATGCAAAGAGGGACAGCCACTTAGAGGTCCGCCAAAGGACTGCCCCAGTGGTCTTGGCTCTGCTGGGCTTTTCCTTCCGGGCACACTCTGGCTTTTGAAACCAGCTGCACAGGTTCACAGCTCCACAGCAAGGCCAATCTGAGGGCTGATGCTCTATCCACTGAGCCAAACCAGCTAGGGCTGAAATCTTTCTTTTTTTTCTGCTTCCCAATAACCCTCAAAAACAATGGCAAGTGCTCATGCCAAGTGGCACAGCCTTAACCATCCTCTGCAGGCTTTCCCATGTCAACGCTGCTCGTCCAGCAGCTTCCCACTCTCAGGCTGGGGGAGTGAACTACGGGTCAGGCTGAAATCTTTCTGAAGAAAAAGCTCCTTATGTACAATTAGCCAGTGCCTGGCCGTGTGGAAACTGGTCAAGGAGTGTTTATAGTTAGTTCTTGCCGCCTCGTTCTCCAACGTGGCAGATAAACCTGAAGTGCTGCTGCTGCAAGCACCTGCTGTGAGTGACTGGAAAGCAGGCTTCAAGCAGAAGATGCCAAGGACAGGGCTGGACATCAGCTGCCGAGAGAACACGAGGGGGTCCTGTGCCAGGGCGGCTGGAGCCACTGTGGATGCTGCCCAAGATGCAGAGTACATGCTGCTTGGAGGGAGGGCTTGGCCACGCCGGCCACGGTCCTTCCCTGTGGGAGCCTTAGGCGCACCCACTCCCACACGCGCTGACGGAGCACTCAGAGGCAGGAAAGCGTGTGTACAAACCAAACCTGTTTGGAGAGCCCCCTGTAGAAACCATGCTTCAAAATGGAATTCGGCTGTATTCCAGAAAATCAGTTGCATTTCAGGAAGGAAATTAAACTAAAAGGTAAGAAAACAGTCCATGTGCGGGCCCTCCCCCTCCCACGGCAGAAGAGGGCCCGGGCGCTGTGCCATCTCACTTGCACGGAGCAACGCCGTGCGTGCTTCCAAGTGCTGAGGAGAGGCTGTGCACTACGTTGGGACCGTACGCCCCGCGGAGAGCTCACGGAGCGTCCACGGGCAGCAACACATCCTCATCCGACTCAGGACACAGGCCCTGTGGGCTGAGACTGCAGTCCAGCCTGAAAATGCTGGGGAGCAAAGTCCTAAGGTTTTCCAAAAGCACTTTCTTGCATCTTGTGACAAAAGAACCTCAAATCCACATGCCGGCTCATTAGGCTGCTTTTTCAATCCCCACGCCCCAAAACACCACCCTGGGGGACAGCTATGTGTCTTTGCTGATAGCAAAGGACGTTTTTATGAGTCACAGAATGATGTACAAAAGTTGATGTAAACACACTAAAAATCCCCCCAAATAGCCCCTAGATGAGTCGGTGGGTCTTTTCCCCTCTAGCCCTTGTGTGGGGACTGGCCCAGGTGATCTTCCTGGCTCGTTACTCCTCCATCTGGGCCCAGGCCTCCTCCGCCTTCTGGTAGTACTGGTTGGCCAGCCGGCCCTTCAGGGCTTCCATCGCTGCCTCGGCCGCCTGCGTGTACAAGTCGCCTGAAAGACAGCAAAGTGGGCCACACACAGCTGAGCCACCTGGTGTTTTTGCCAGCCCAGTATCCTCTCCCCTCCCTGGGAACAGCACCCCAAATATTACTAATTCCCTCTCCCTCCACAGGACCCGGGTGGGGCTCTGGGCGGCCATGCGATCGGAGTCTGGCCAAACAAAGTACCCTCCTCATCCCCCACCAGGCAGGCCGCAGAGATTGGCCCAGACTGAGGCACAGCCAATCAGAGGAAGCCATCTCAATGACTGGCATGAGGGCTGGGGTGCTTCCATCTGAGCCAACGAGAAGCAGGCTGAGGCCTTTGCAGGGCCATTTGGAGAAGGTATGCAAGGGGAAGAAATAAAGATTACAAACGGCCCCATGTCAGTTCTGGACAGGTTTGGCCACCAAGTGAATTTGTGCCACATGAACAAAAACTGGTTTTTCAGAGCTTCTGAGATTTAGAAATTCCAAATAAGGAATTACAGAATTGCTTAATTTTTTATACACCCTTAACATTTTTTTTTTTTAAACTTGGCCTCAACCCCCATACCTGTGAAATAAGAGAAATAAGGAGTTCAGTATGTTTATTATGTAACAGAAAAAATATCTAATGTGTGCATCAACTGCTGAACGGATACACAGAATATAGTACCTCTGTACAATGGAATATTATGAGGCAATAAGAAGGAATGAAGTACTAATACATGCTACAACACGGATGAACCTTGAAAGTATTATGCTCCGTGAAAGAAGCCAGACACAAGAGCCACATATTGTATGATTCTCTCTTTATGAACTGTCCAGAGTAGGTAAATCCACACAAAAAGTAGGCTAGTGGTTTGCAGGAATGAAGGGGGGCAGGAGGCCACTGCTACCGGGGACTGGCTCTCTCTGCGGCGGCGTGTGGAAGTATCTGGACTGAGATAGTGGGGATGGTTGCTCAACATCGTGAAGGTACTAAACACCACTGAACTTGTACACTTTAAAATGGTGAATTTTAGGTGATGAAAATGTCAGTTCAATTGATTTTTAATAGTAAAAAAACCCCCAACACCCTAAAACCCGAGCCCCTGATATATAGCCATTAAAATAAAAATGCTCATCTGCACACCAGCTCCATGAAGCCCCCTAAGCCAGCGCCTGTGGGGTCCAGCCTGGCAGAAGGGAGGGCCTGTGCATCGGAAAGAGGAGCCGCACGCAGCCCGTGTCCTGCCCGTGGGACAGGAATCATGTCCCTCCTGCCCGCCCGCCCGCCTCAGGGGCAGGTCTCCCCGACCTACCTGACCTCTGCGGGTCCTTCTGCAGCCGGAAGCCGCCCACAGACAGCATCTCGGCCTCCCTGGCCAGCAGCGTGTACCGGGGCTCGTCTTGCATCCCGTCATACTCGCCGCCCTCGTCACAGTCCGTTTTCTCCAGGGCAGTGCTGTACCAGTGCAGAGCCTCTGGCCAGTCTCGGGACCTTGGCAGGAGATAAAGAGGAAAAGAGGGAGGTTACCATGGCAACCGGGCAGGAAGGAGAAGGCCCAGCGGCGGGAGGAGCAAGTCAGGGATCCCAGGGGGCCACCACCTATGAATCCTGACTCTCAGCCCCAGACGCCACCGCATCGAAGGGGCATCGTCCACACCTCAGGTTACACATCTATGAGAGCGCCGTCTCTCATGTCCCTAACAGGGCAGGTGCATTCCACAGCTCTCCAGCAGTGGTGCGGGGCGTTTTCCAGTCTGAACACGATAGCACCCTGTGGGCCAGCATTAGCAGTGGCTGGTACCAGTCAGTCTGTCCTATGACTGGGTAAGAGAGGAGGCGAGTGGGTCCCCTTTGCCAAGGCCTCAAGGTCACGTGAGAGAATGGTCACCTTGTGGCCCATCTCACGCTGGGCCTGTGCAGCCGGCACCGGGCAGGCTTCCGGGGAGGAGCCGGCTCCCTCTCTGCTCGGCCCCTCTGGCCTCAGCTCTTTCTCCTGCTGCAGCACGTGAATGGCCAAACCACGCAGGTTCTAAGCAAATCTAAACACACAGACCGAGCAGGCAGGGTAGCAGCTTTCTCTTTGGGCGCACTAACTGTATCCGGGCACATGAGCATTATAGCATGCCGGCAAAGAGCAGAGACACTGTAAGAAGGCCCCTGGGTCTCATGAGCGTTCCCGGAAAGCAGCTACCATGACTTGCTGCCCTCCCCTCTGGGTGCTCCCTGGCCTGGCTCAGCCCTGGTTTTAGCTCCTGCTAACCTCCCCATGCCAGGCTTTCTGTTCCATCTGCTCCTTGCTGTGGCCCCTGCTGCTCTGTCAGCTGGGATGCCCACACTGGCTCCTCAGCTCTCTGCCTCTTCTTCAGAGACGCCGTCTCCAGACACCGTTTCCTACAATGGCCTCAGTCTGTTTACTCAACGCTGAGGACGGTTTCCCCAAAGACGCCAAAGGCCCAGGAAGGCAGGGCCCGCCGGCGGGTAAACACGCTGGCCAGGACGGCCTTCAGGAGCTAGCCTGACTCCACTTTATTTTACAGAAAAGGGAAATCTTCTGACAATTATTGGTGACACACCCACCAAATTGAGGTTTTGACATTTGTCTGGAAGCCACTAAACCATATTGCACCCCTTTAACCCCCCTGGTCTTGACCCTCCCTGGTCTTGACAGACAAAGCAGATCTGCCCTGAAACTTGAATGAGGAAGAGCGGAAGGGCCTAATATTTCCCGCCCCACCCCACCCCACGACGCCACGCCCAGGGGTAGGTGCCCACCCTGCGTTGGAGTTTCCAATGACGTTTCCTTCCCCTATTTGGGGTAACTTCTGAGAAGGTGGAAATTTGGGCCTCCATGGGGCCTGCCTTACCCGAGTGGCCCTTAATTAACGCTCCCTGAATGGAAGAGGCTGGAGCAGCTTGGAATGAGGAAGAAGAATAAAAAAATGACTATAGTAAAAGCTATATAAAAAACTTTGAAAGATTAAACTACATAAATATTAAAAAATCAATGTATCCCCAAGCCCACAAACAGTGGTCACCGAGTGACCCTGTCCCCCCACACCGGTAGTAATTATCTCTGAAAAAAATTTTAAGCCAGCTCACATGCCAAAGAGTTACTAGCATTAACAACAGAAACTATCGTGTCAAAGAAAAAGGCAAAGTCATAAGAACACACAGGGTTCTGTCGGTGCCCAGCCCCAGCACCCGCCAGGCGGGGCCAGGCGGGGCTTCCCCGGCACACTCGAAGGGCACCAGGTACACGGCGTCTAATCCGCACAGTCATGCGTGTCATTCTGTTCACCTCCCGTCCGTGACAGTGTAGTCCTGTGACAGGCCACTGTAGGAGGGGCCAGACGACCTGGGCTCAGCTCTGCCACTCGCTCCCATGTGACCATGGCAATCCCTTCGCCTCTCAGAACGAGTTTACTCATTCATAAAATGGGGCCAAACATGCCCGGCCTGTGTGTGCCAAAGAGATGTGTTGGCTCATTCATTCGAACAACCACTGAGCCAGGCCCTGCGCGGAACACGGGGCTGCAGACAGCGAAAACCGGTTCCCGTTCTCAGTGGAATAAAACCACCAGGGAAAGAGCGGTCCGAACACCAGGGAGCAAAGAGCAGGTACATGTCTGCACGATATGTAGGAGGCCGCGTATCCAGATGGCTCAGGCCCTGAGAGCTTGACATGATAGAGCCACGGCCCTGACTTTCCTTCTCACCCAGTGAGAGGGGCAGGAGACCTTGACCCGAAGAAGAGAACTGCCAGGCTGCTCCCCCTGCAGGCATAGAGGATGACTGTGCTCACCCTGCTCCCTCCCGGGAGCCGCGGGATTGGAACTGCCTCTTCCCACTTTCATTAACGCAGTGGGGAGCCTAGCTGGAACCCCAGGAGAACCACAGGGCATCAGCAACGGGTCCCTTTACGACAAGCATGTCAAACCCGTGGCCTGTGGGCTGCATGCGGCCCACAACCAATATTTTTGCGGCCCAGCCAATATAAGGTAAGTAAAAAACGTTTTAACAAAAATTTCGTAACTTAATTTTTACAATATCCTGTGATACATAATGATTAATAACGAACTACAACGTTCGCTAATGACTGATGACTATCATCGTGTTGCATTCATTTCCCTTACGCGCCTTACGCACAGGCACACCATTTCTCTCCACTAATACCAGCAGCGAATATTTTAGCAGCCGATGGCCACGTCATTAGTCTTGGACTGACTTGTTTGGTGTGCGCAACAGGAAATATTTTGCTTTCGGAGAACAAAAATAATAGGTTTATTTGCGTGATGCTTATTAATTTGTGCAGTTATTCAGTGTCTGGTAAATTAATGTTCAAGAAAAAATATTCATTTTTATTAAAATGTTGTATTATTTTATGTTAACAATGACTCATTTATTTCAGCCCTTTGTATTCAGCATGTCTCTACTGAAATAAACCTACGTTTCTATGAAAATTGAAGCTTTTGTGTTTTTGCGGCCCACAGAAACTTCAACCTTGTTTATTTGGCCCGTGTTAGCCTTTGAGTTTGACATACTTGCTTTATGAGTTCAATTCCCCCACTGTCCTCTGCTCAGCCTGGACTTCTGGGACGACTCACTGGTCAAGCCAAGGAGATGAGATGGAGCCGGGCCACCCGCCCCTCCTTCCCCTGCACAAACCAGCCCTGAGCGGCAGCTAAGGAAGAGTTAGCACCTGCAGTCCTGCCTTCAGGAGGCTCAGCCACCCTGGGAAACCCACTCCAGGCCTGAGCTACCCTGGGCTTGCTTCCGTCCCCCTCCCTCTCAGAAGGGAAACATAAAAGTAGGCAGAGTAAATTCTAATCACCCAGATCCTACCATCCAGGGACAACCACGCGGGCCCAATGCTGCACATCCTTTCAGACTCTTTCTCAGAACATTTACCTCTACTGGCTAAGCTGCCGCATGAGCTCATGCTTCTATGCCAGGCACAGTGAGAATCCATCTCATCTAACCCTCACACAACAATCCTAGGACGCAGGTTCCACAATCATTCCGTTTACACACTGAAGAGCCTGCGGCCAGGAAGGTAAAGTAACTTGCCACAGACTGGAATGCAGTGGGGAGCCGAGCCCGAAACCCAGGTCTGTGCTGGTCCTGGAGGGGAAGCTCCCACCTGGAGCCGGGTCCCACCAGCCCCCCTGAGTGGCGGCCACAGTACCTGTCTGGGCTGAGGTTCTGGCCAGTGTCAAAAGCTCGTGCCACCAAGATCATGGACTGTCTGTCACCAGCGCCAGCCGCCTTCAGTAAGTAATCAAATCCTTTGGTTTTATTTTCTTCCGTCTCCTGTCAATACCAACCAGAGGGGAGAGAAGAGAGATGAGGCCTGCACTGGAGGGGCTGCCAGGGCCACTGACCAACCTCCTCCACTGACTGTCGTGAGAGCTGGGCTGGGGCTGCTGTAGAATCGTGCACCGTGAGAAAGAACGAACGGGCGAGCACCTGGTGCCATGCTCCTTGGGTGCCCACCGGGAGAACAGCAGCTCAGCTCTCTCCTGCCCCCTGTCATCTATCTGCTCCGAGGCTGCCGAAGAGCCACTCACGTCCTGCCTCCACAGGGCAGGGCTCTCTGCCCCCACTCTTTAAACATTTCAGCAGCTTTACTGAGATATAACTCACATACCACATAATCCACCCAATGAAAGCACACAAATCAATAGTCTCAGCATATTCACACAATGTGCAACATCACCATAACCATTTCAGACAACCGAAACACCATGCCCTGAACTGTCACCTCCAAATTGCCCCATCCTACCCAGCCCTGGGCAACAACTGTTTCTCTTTTATTGATTTCAGAGAGGAAGGGAGAGGAAGAGAAAGACAGAAACATCAACGATGAGAGAGAATCATTGATTGGCTGCCTCCTGCACGTCCCTAATCAGGATTCAAGCCTGCAACCCAGATATGTGCCTTACTTGGAATCGAACTGTGACCACCTAGTTCATACGTTGACACTCAACCACTGAGCCACACCGGCCAGGATCACCTATCATCTGTTTCTAGAGATTTCACTATTCTGGACATTTAATATAAATGTAATCCTATAATATGTGGCTGCTTCTTCCACTTGGCATACAGCATTCAAGGTTCATCTATGTTGTAGCAGGTATTAATGCTTCATTTTTCTTATGGCCAAATAACATCCCATTGTGTCGATATATCACATTTTGTTTATTCAGACCTGGCCAGTGTGTTCAGTGGTTAGAGTGTTGGCCTGTCCACCCAAGGGTCACGGGTTCAATTCCAGGTCAAGGGTTCGCTCCCCGCCCCTAGTCAGGGCGCATGCAGGAGGCAACCAGTTAATGTGTCTCTCTCACACTGATGTTTCTCTCTTTCTCTCCCCCTCCTTCCCTCCCTTCCACTCTCTCTGAAAAGCAATGGAAAACATATCTTCAGGTGGGGATTAACAACAACAAAAAGCATCACTTCCTAGTTATTTCACTACGTGCTACTTCTTACCTATGGTCGGACTCTGTCACTGCTGCGGGGCGCCCTGTGCCGGCAGGGCATTCGGCAGCATCCCTGGTCTCCGCCCACTAGTGCCAGGTGCATCCCCAGAGTCGCGACAAACAAAATGTCTCCAGACATAGCCCGTGTCCCCCGGAAAGAGGGAGGGCAGAACGGCTGGCTGAGAACCACTGGTTTTTGAAACTGTGATGAACGCACCGTAAAACCGTGTCTTCTGCACATTTCCTCCCAATGCCGTGTTCAGTGACGTCATACTTATCATGAAATTGCCACATTTACACCACAGCAAGCGGAAATCGCTACAAGTGAAGGTTTGAGTAATTGTCTTTTTGAAAAAGAGATGAAAAAATATCCATGATGCAGATTAACTTAAAAGTGTTGGTGCCTGTCATTATATTGTGTGAGCACAGGAAACTGAAAAAACATTCTCCAGTGTTATCAGCAATGCAGTTGCTCGTATCAGCGGCAAATAAACGAACTTCCAGTTCTGACAGAGATCTTCCTTATTTCACCTTCATCTTACACACTAACGTACATGAAAGTTTCAACCAATATTTACAATGACCAATATTTATGTCAGAATGTCACAGCCCATCAGTTGCAACCGTAAGTGGGTAGAAGATATAAAGTTCCACAACTAGTAGCGAAAGCATCCTGTGAGAATGCCCTGACTGTATCGAATTTACAATAGTCTTTTAAAAATATATATATATATTATTGACTTCAAAGAGGAAGGGAGAGGGGGAGAGAGAGAGATAGAAACATCAATGATGAGAGAGAATCATTGATTGACTGCCTCCTGCATGCGCCCTACTGGCGATCGAGCCCGCAACTGGGGCATGTGCCCTTGGCCGGAATTGAAACCAGAACCCTTCAGTCCACAGGCCGATGCTCTACCCACTGAGCCAAACCAGCTAGGGTGCTCCACATCCTTTTATTTATTTATTGAATTTATTGAGGTGACATTGGTTAACAAAATTATATAGGTTTCCAGTGTACAATTCTATAGTAGATCATTTGTATATTGCATTGTGTTCATCACCCCAAGTGTTCCACATTCTTTATGTCAGTAACGTTTATAATAAACTTACATACAGCTGGTGCACACCGTTCCTCCCACCCGAGAGCCAGCGGGGAACACTCCCCGCACAGCACTGGCTGAATGAGCATGGGGACGGGAGGCACGTCACCCGCCCGTCAGATCCCCTCCCGGCACCACGCCTGCCCTCACCGTCTAACACGGGCCATAGAACCGGCTGTGGGTGATCTCTGCCCATGGGCCCGATAACCGGCCTGACTGAACCGCATGACACTGTCAATATCTGACCATTCCTGACCTACAAAAACGGTAGTTTTGTGAAGTTCAACTTCATGTGTACAAGGCTCGTCACTGCAGCAATTTCTGTGATATTCAAAGAATGGAACCAACCCCAGTGCCCATCGACAGGGCACAGGTTGGTAAGCACGTGGCACCCATGCAACAGAAGGTCACGCACTGTGGAAAAGAACGAGGGCGCTTTCTCTGCACCACGAGGGGAAATGTGGATGCTGCCGGTGAGAAAACCTCAGGCCAGGTGAGTGCGTGGTAGGCTAACGTTGGAGAAAAACAGGGTGAAAATACACTGTGTTGGTAGAAGGAAACCCTGTGCACTGCGTTAAGCAGTGTCCCTCCCCATTCACGTCCACCCAGAACTTCAAAATGGGGCCTGATTGGGAAACAGGACGTTTGCAGGTGCTAAGATGTTGATTAGTTAAGTTGAGGTCGTCCTGGGGTAGTGCAGGCCCTAAATCCCGTGTGACTGGCGTCTTTTTTTTTAATCCTCATCCAAGGATATTTTTTCCATTGTTTTCTAGAGAGAATGGAAGGGAGGAAAGAGGGGGAGAAAGAGAGAAAGAGAAACATCGACGTGAGACACATCAATTGGTCGTCTCCCACATGCGCCCCAACTGGGGTGGGGAACCTGCAACCGAGGTACGTGCCCTTGACCAGGAATGGAACCCAGGACCCTTCAGTCCGCAGGGCATGGCTGGTATCTTTATCAGAGGAGAAGAGACACAGAGACGGACAGAAGGCCATGTGAAGACAGACACAAAGAGGGGAGTGACGAATCTATACGCCAAGGATGCTACAGATGCCAGCACCCATGAGAAGCTGGAAGAGACAGGAAGGAGGAAGCACAGCTCTGCCAACGCTTTAAAAAAATGTTTTTATTCATTTCAGAGAGGAAGGAAGAGGGAGGGAGGGAGGGAGGGAGGGAGAGAGAGAGAGAGAGAGAGAGAGAGAGAGAGAGAGAGAGAGAAACATCAATAATGAATAAAAAATAAAAAAATAAAAAAAAAAGAAACATCAATAATGAGAGAGAGTCACTGATCGGCTGCCTCCTGCACGGTCCGAGCCCTCAACCCGGACATGTGCCCTTGACCAGAATCAAACCTGGGACTCTTCAGTCCGCAGGCCGACGCTCTATCCACTGAGCCAAACCAGCTAGGGCTCTGCCGACACTTTAGTTTTGGACTCCCAGTCTCCAGAACTGTGAGAGAATGACTTTCTGTTGTTTTAAGCCACCTAGTTTGTGGTCATATGTTATGGCAGCAACAGGAAACTAATACACTGTGGAATTCTATACAACAAACTAAAATTTTAAAGAAAATAAAGGTTTTGATCACATAAATCTCTTACCTATTTAAAGAGTTAAATAAATAAAGGACTGTGGAGTGCCTTCCTGCCTTCTTCTGGTCTGAGACCCCTCCCCACAGGCCACATCCAGGCCAGTGAGGAGGGCTGTACCCGGCCAGGCTGAGCCCAGCCTCACCAGCCACCTCTCCATCCACGTGCTCGACCAGGGCTTCTCAACTTCTCCGGGGAAAGACTGACGGAACCTGCTCACTCGGTGCTTTCCTCGCTGTGCCCATGGGCCAGGGAGGCAGGGGAGCGGACCTCATGGGCTTCCCACCCCACATCCCGCAGTTTCAGACCCCACGCAGCCTCCCCTCCTGCGCCACCTCCACGTGCCGCAGGCTCCGGCCGCACCAATCGCCTCCAGCCCTTAGCTCCGCCAGCCTGTGTGCGGCCCCTCTCCCTGAACTGCTCTTAATCACCATTTGGCCTTTAGGTCTAACTTAAATATCATTTTATTCATTCATTTCACAAGCAAATCCTAAGCACCTACTATGTGCTGGACTGTTCTAGCCTCTAAGGGCACCACTGGAGCCAGCGCTCGGGAAGCAAGCTGACCCTGAAGCCCCAGGCAGGGCCCTCCCTCATTTGTTCCCACCCGTCTCTCCTGCTTCTCCCATCACCCCTGCTGCACCTGCCTGGAAATGGGACTGTCCCCTTCCACTCAGTCCCCAGGCCGGAGACCCACTCTAACTCAGAAGTGGGGGCTCTACCCGGTGATCAGACCCCAGGCTGGGGAAGGTGGGCTGGGGAGGCCGCCGCTGGTCCCAGCCCCTCACCTTCAGAGCGACGTCGGTCAGGATGTGGTGGGGCAGCTGCGAGTACAGGAGTCCCAGGCCCACGATGGCCTCCAGCTCGCCCAGGTCGGCTGCGTGCTCCAAGTGGAAGATGGCCGACTCACGGTCCCAGTCCTCGTCCTTCTCACAGAAGCGCCCGCCCTCGTGGTATCGCACCATGGCCAGATGGACCTGCCACACAGATGGGGTGCTGGCTGGGCAGTCTGGGAGGCGACGGCCACACCCCAGGGCCCCCAGCCAGCCTACGGGAGCAGTTATGAGCAGAGGTGAGCGCCGGGTTAGTGCAGAGGGCTCTGAAAAGGCATCACCGATACCTTCCCCAGAACGGACTTCCCGATTCTCTTGCCAAGGTCCAGAGCATTAAGCCTGCGCACTTCCAGGGCCACGGTGGAAGGCCTGTGCAGGTGGAGGCGGGCGGGGTTAAGGAGGTTCCACTTCTCCACACAGACCTGAAGGGAGAGAGCCGGGCATGGCACGTTTCCAGGCCAGAGAGGCCGGGGCTGGGGACAGACAGGCGTCAACAGCTGTCAGCAGCTCCCACGACATGAGCCTGGCTGGCCAGGTGGGAGCAAACCCTGATGGTGTCGAGTTTTCTTGGACAAACAGGGCTCCATTTCTAGTCACTCAAATTCTGTCAGCTCGTGGGCACCGAGGGCCTATGACAGCTACGGGACACAAAGGCCAGCAGCACAGACCGCAGCGGCTCAAAGGAGTGCTTCGCTCACTTGTCAGTCTGGGTGAGGCCGGGGAGGCTAGGCCCCAAGTGGCCCATTGGCCCGCTCTCCACGCGCCAGAGTCAGGTCCCTCTGCTTTCCTCTGGACATCAACCAGGTGCTCCCGGGAATGTCTCCCAGCTAAACACAGCCCGGTTTTGCCCCACCGCATGGCTCAGCGATTGAGCTTCGACCTATGAACCAGGAGGTCACGGTGCGATTCCTGGTCAGGGCACATGCCCAGGTCACGGTTCATTCCCGGTTGGGAGTGTGCAGGAGGCAGCCAATCCATGATTCTCTCTCGTCACTGATGCTTCTATCTCTCTCTCCCTCTCCCTTCCTCTCTGAAATCAATAAAAATATATTTAAAAAATTAAAATAAAAAAATAAACACAACCCAGTTTACAGGTTCCTCCAGAGCAGCGCCAGGCAGATGTGGGTGCCAAACACGTGACAACGCACGGCGGCCCCGCAGCAGAGGGCGGTCCAGCTCAGAATGCCGGTGGTGTCACGGTTGAAAACCATGCCCGTGCCTGGCTGAGCCCTGACCCAACCGGGAAAGAACCCCTGGTGAATCCTCTGTGCTCGAGGGAGCGGGAGGAAGGCCTGGGCGACCAGGGAAGGCTACGGTCTGGTCCGGTCTGGGCGGGAGGGGCGGGAGGTGTGACTGGTGTCCAATCCCAGAGCAGCGGCCTGGAGGTGTGCCTCCGGGGCAGGAAGGACCTTGCAGGTGGGAGAGACTCCTCAGGCTCTTAGGCGGAGGCGGGAGGCGGGGCTCCAGTGCTCCACAGGCAGCTGAAGAGCACAGGCTCCCGAGGGTGGTCCCTCCCTCGCCCGCGAGAGGGTCAGGAGCGCCTAAGGTAGCCAGGAAGCTGGGAGGCTAACAAGACCTGTTGCCTCATCCTGAAATGGGGGCGAGCACATCAGCCTGTCTCCCTGGGTGTCGTCAGGAGGAAGTTCATTAATGTCACGAGCCGCTCTGTGGGCGGGGCTTTAGCAGTGAGCTGTGGCTGCTTGCTCGCCCTGGGGCGGGTGATCCTGGCACCCCTCCCCTCCCCAGAGGTCCCCATCGTCCCGCCCAGGCAGGGGCTCAGAAAGTATTTGCCCAGGAGATGGGCTTCTTTGCACCGTTTTCCTTTAGGAGATTGTGAGGCGCCGGGCAGGCTGCGGTGGCGTGAGGGGGGGGAACAGGCAAGCACGCAGCTCGGCAAGGGTTCCTCGGGGAGCTTACCCGTCCGCAGCTGCCCAGGCTGTCTTCGTCCGACTCGTCCCGGTCCCGCTGGCTACCGTTCGAGTGGCCCTGATGGACGCAGAGAACAGAGTTCCAGAGAGCAGCTTCCTCCCAAGGCCGGGCTGGCCAAGAGCCTCCTCCCGAGAAACGCCTCTCAGGGAGCCCGCCCCCGGGGAAGCTGGAGCCCGCCTGGCAGGCCGAGAGGTGCTGGCAGCAGGCGGACCCTGTGCCGGAGCAGCCACAGCCTTCCTCACGGGGGATCCCAGAAAACGGGGCCCAGTCCTGGCTCCCGCCGCATGTCTTTCCTGCAGCGACAAGGCTAGACCAGGGGGCTCCCGGAGGCGCCCTGCGGCCGGACTCTGGCATTGGCACGGCTGGCGGGACACGCTGTGCCACTGCCGAGGCCACCCTCACCGAAGCCGTGGGAGCTGCCTCGGAAGCCCGTCCTCTGGCTCCCAGCACCTGGGAGCTGGGCCAGCCTCTTACCCAGCATCCTCTCTGCTTAGCCACTTTCAATCCTGTGCCTCACCCCATCCTGGGCTCCATACTACACTCATTGGTCCCCATTAGCCTGCTTTATCTTGGGCCCTGCATCCATCTTTTCCTGATATGAGCTTATTTAGTAATTTATTCATCATGTTCTCATGACCCACTTGTGTTCCCCCTACCACTCTACCCTCCCAGACAATGAGGGAACAGAAAACTCGTCTTATTTTCCAGGAGTTCCCTACCTGTTCTCGGGGCTCTGGGTCATCCAGCTCACCCCGCTTCTCACTGGGGTATCCGCTGTCCCCACTGTTCTCAGAGTCCTGTGGAGAGAAGATGGCCCGAGATCTCAGTGGGCCTTTGAGTGCCTGGGGGTGACATCTGGACATGCCAGCCGTTTGCTTCCTCTCCTTTCCCCATCATCTCTCTTAACATCCTCCTCTTGCCCGTGTTGGCTGCATGACAACCGAGCAGCAGACAGCAGCGGTGCGGGGCCCAGGCTCTGAGCTCGACTGCTCGGCTCAGGTCTGACTTTGTGACTCGCCAGCTGTGACCTTGGACAGCTGCTTGCCCTCTCGGCTTCCTTCTTACGGGGACTCATCACAGCACCCACGTCAGAGGCTGTGAGGAAACCGATGGTGGAATCACAGTAAGTGCAGTGTTAAGTGTGGCTCGTCCATTTCACAGGCAGGAAAACAAAGGCTGGGTTAGGGGTTAAAGCCACAGATGAAATGCAGCCTTGGGCCAATATTACTACAACTACACCCTCTGCCCAAACCGCACAGGTCACCTGGGCATATTTTTTTTGTTCCAGGTCTGAGTCCTGTTCAGAAAGGGGTCTGGTGTAATTTACAACAGCTAAGACCACCATAATGTATCCACCAGCCTTGAGTTCTGCATCACTATTCAGCTCCCACTTTCATTACTTTCCTTCTTTACTGAGAAGTATTTCAAACACACAACAGGAGCGGAGACCACGGTGAACACCCCTCCTATCCCCGGCCCCGTCACTCTCAACAGTAGGCCGTAGTTACTTCGGATCTTGCATTTTTATTTATTTACTTTTGTTAATCCTAACCTGAGGATAATTTTCCTATTGATTTTAGAGCGTGGAAGGGAGGGGGAGAGACAGAAAGGGAGAAACATCGATGGGAGAGACACATCGGTTGGTTGCCTCCTGCACATGCCCTGACTGGGGCTGGGGATCAAGCCTGCAACCGAGGCACATGCCCTTGACTGGAATTGAGGGCCATGCTACAACCACTGGGAAAACTGGCTGGGGCTAGATCTTCTATTTGTAAAAGGAAATAAAACACTACCGTCAAAACGTAGATCTCTAGTGCAGCCCCCGCCCCCGTCTCTTCCTCCTCTAGATAAAGCCACTTACATGAACTCTACTTCTCATTTGTGGTTTTCCTTTAGAAAACCATTTTATTTTACTTATGTATCTTTTTAAAAGAAGCTTGGCATCACTAGCTTAAATGTGAAACTTGTCCCACTCCCCGGAACAGGCAGGAGCCACGCAAGCCCACACAATGCGATCCTGGTCCCTGGTCTGGCTGGGACCCCTCCAATCAGGCGCCTACAGGCCTCCCTGCCAGCCGCCCCCAGAGCCTTTATCTGTGTGAGCCGAACGGCTGTTCTGTTGGGTGTGTTTCCCCCAATTTTTAAAATTGAGGCGTTATTTACAGACCCCCAAGCTGCAGTGTGCAGGGAGTGGCGTGAAGGCTCCTTTTGAACATGGACTGCAGGCTGCACTCAGAAGCTCCGGCAGCCTGCTCCTTGCACCCCGTCCCTCCTTCTAGAATCATGCCCGAGCTGAACATCAGCGAGCCCCGGCAAACCCCAGCTCTGGGCCCTGGGAGAGGCAGCCAACCTCTCCAGACCGAGGTCTCTTCGCCTGAGGAAAGGGGGACTGCCCATCTGAGATGGAAAGCGCAGCCAAGGGCAGCAGTCAGAGGGTGAGTCTGAGCACTGGCTCTATCGCCCAGTGACCAGGAGCAGGTGGCCATCTTCTCTGTGCCTCCGTGTCCTCAGGTCTGAGTCAGCGATGCTCAGAGGCCTGCCCAGCAGTGGTCATGGGAGGGAGCAGGCGGCTGAGGGGCGGAGGGAGCGCATGTCGCGTGCGAATGTCTGTTAAAAGGACGAACTGAAGCATCTACCGAGTCCCCACACAGCGTCTGCCCTCAGTGATGACTCCACGTGTGTCAGCTATTCTTTTTTTCTTCCCCTCAACAATTCTGAAACGCAGTCAAGAGTAAACTTGAGCCTTTGGAGCCACCTGAGGGTGCAGTGGTGGTCTGGGCGAGTGTGACAAATCTACAGTCTGTGAATTTTGAATTTGACGCCGGGATATGTTTGCCTGAATGCAAATATGATGCTTTCCGTTTCTTACCACTGAGCCCCCAGAGCTGCAAGAACCTGTTCCATTTATCCAACCGAGAGTCCCAACTGACAGTGCCCTGCCCCCCAACACAGCTGTCCACACAAGGGGCCACGCCAGCTGAGGGCTGAGCTGCAGCTGTCTCTGCTGCTGACCTGGTTCCCTCTTCTCTAACCAGTTCACGGAGGGAGGCCCCGGCTCTCTCCGAAAACACTGCTGCTGTGGGCGGGCGGCTGAATTACCTGTGCCCCCTACCCCCTCCATAGGCCCCTGGCCTGTGCAGAGCAGACCGGGGCTGCCCACCTCGGACCCTGAGCATCGCCCTCAGTTCCCACTGGACTGTCCTTTCCGCCCAGCCTGCTCCTCCTTCCCTCTCCTCACCCGGTGGTTGTCGGGATGGTCGTGATCTTGGGGAGCCATGTTGTCCAGGTCGCTGAACACTGGCCAATCTGGGCAGGAGAAAACACAGACAGACAATGTGCTGGGTCCACTGCTGGGAAGTTCCCAAGACCAAACTACAGCCTAGCGCTGACTGCACCTGGTGAAGCCTTTTTTTATATTTTAAAGATGCAAAAAGAGGGAGAAAACTGTTGTCAGCACCCGGGGCTACAGTTCTCTTTCCTCCTTGAGCACTTTCTCCAAGTCTCGCCAGCTGTGGGCCCTGAGCAGGCGGCTTAATCGGGGTTGTCATAAAGCAACATGTCTGTAAGCACGTGTGCAGGGCCCGTGGCGGCCCTCACGGGGTGCGGTTGTGAAGGAAGAAAGGCCATTTGTACATCAAAGAAGCGCGCCACGCCGGACACCGGTGTTGGGAGCGCGGCTCTGCTCCGTGACGGGGTGGACATGACCATGCTACAGTGGGGGTCAACGTCCCAGGCCTCCGTCGCCACAACCCTGACAAGGCCCATATGCAGGCTTGGCCTGCTTTTCCGGAGCGCGCAGTGGGGACCCAGATGGCTTCAAATCCAGCCACTTCCTGGAGAGCCCCAGTCTGTCTCCTGCCTTGAGCTCCCCTGAGCCAAACCTGGCTTGCCTCCTGATTTTTTTCTTTTTTAAATATATATTACTGACTTCAGAGAGGAAGGCAGAGGGAGAGAGAGATAGAAACATCAATGATGAGAGAGAATCATTGGTCAGTTGCCTCCTGCACACTCTACACTGGGGATTGAGCCCACCACCCAGGCATGTGCCCTGACCAGGAATCGAACCATGACCTCCTGGTTCATAGGTCAAAGATCAACCACTGAGCGACGCCAGCCAGGCTGTCTCCTGTTTTTATGTGGTTTCTTTAAGAATGGTTTGTTCCTTTTTAAATGATTGAAAATAATGAAAAGAGTAGTATCTCCTGATATGTGAAAATTCCATGAAATTGAAACTTTGATGCCCACAACAGGAGCGTTGGCACACGAGCCACGCTGTTTGCTTAAGCCGCATCTGCACTGCGCTCAGGCGGCGAGGGCAGACTGTGCCCACAGAGCCTACAACATTTACTCGGGCTCGGACGCTGCTCAGTGGCTGAGCATCAGCCCATGAACCAGGAGGTCACAGTTCGACTTCGTCAGGGCACATGCCCGGGTTCCGGGCTCAATCCCCAGTGTCGGGCAGGAGGGGGCAGCTGATCAATGATTCTCTCTCATCATTGACATTTCTATCTCTCCCTCTCCCTTCCTCTTTCTCTAAAATCAATAAAAACATTAAAACAAACAAACTTGTTTGCTGACACCTGCTCTGTGGAGAGGCCTAAAGACTTCTTTAACTCGGACACCGAAACCCTCTCCCGCTCCTGCGCCGGCCCGGCCGAGCAACGGCCGCACCACCCTCCACATCCCCAGAGTCAGCCAGCTGTCACCTCAGCTTCAGAAATGATGGTTTTCTCCTTTGACCTAGTCATGTGATGCTAACCCATTCCCTAATGCTGAGCACCCTCAGATTCCTGTGAAAACCCTGTCTATGACAGACGATGCCCTTAAGTTACTAATAGTCTTTATTTGTTAATACCTTATCTAGAATTTCTGTATTACATATTTATGAGTGAGGTCTGAATATAGTTTTCTTTTTTGGTGTTTTGTCAAGCTTTGCTAGTTTCCTAAAAGACACTGAAATGTGTTTTCTACAACACGGGTTGTTTTATGGCATCCAGATGACCTGCGTCTTGAACTCGCCTGTAAAACCCTCTGGGCCATGAATCTTTTTAGTTAGTGTGTTTAAGTCTAAAGTTCAGTGAAAGCCAGTTTAGCTCTGCAGACCTGGCACCTGCCCCTCCAATCACAAGGACCCGGGCCGACCATCACTCACGGAGGTGGTCCAGTTTCTGGCTGTGTGGCGTGGCTGAAGATGGGGAGGAAGAGAGAGAGTCGAAGGTCACGTCGCTCATGTTCTCGTCTCCAGAGTTCTCTGACAGGCGGAGGAGCAGGGGTGGCCGGCTCCCAGAGAGGGTCCTCACTAGGGGGCTCCCACACTTTTCCTCTGTCCCCCTCAAGATGGTCTTGGCTGATTGCTGGAGAAGTAACAGGGACATTCATGTCACAGAGGCATCCGCTGGGAATGAGGAACTCCTCTTATCTGTTGTTGCCTGAACTCCGAGGCCCTAGGCTCCTACCCATGCCTGTTTAGGGCCTGGTGGAAAATCTAAAAATAGTCAGTGAGGATTAACCCAAAGCAGCCTCTGGGAGCCGGCCAGCCAACATTCCCCAAGCGCGGACCACACTGCCAGCCCTGAGCTGGGGAATTCACGTCACTACACGGTCCAGAATCCCAAGCTGGTCTTTGCCAACGTTCTTGTACCTGGGCCATGCAGGGGTAGGGAGTGGACACATCCTCAACACAGCCAGGCCCAAGTCTAGCCCAGCTATTTGTCGCCAAACACAACCTCACGCACACGCACACACACACGCCACACATCTCTCTCCCAAGCTCTGCTCGCCTGGTCTCCTCACTCTGGTAAAAATGGGCCCCAATCAAGCAGACCCCAGCTACTCATTAGTGGGACACTCAGGCTTAGTGCACTGACTTGGGCGGGAGGAGGGGCACAGACGGGACTGAGATCCCTCCGGTCCTGACGGTCTTCAGTTAAGCATTGCAGGCCTGGGCTGCTGTCACAGTGAAGCGCCATGTGCTGGCCCGGCAGCAGAAGGGCCCGGCAGTACCCCCCCCCCCCCCCCCCCCCCCCCGCAGGCTCCCGCGGGGCACCCACCAGCAGCTTGGTGTTCTGATTCACTGCGTCCTGCTCTCTCGGTGACAGGTCGAAGGGAGTGAGGCCCATACTCTTGCAAATGCGGTTGCAGGCGTGGGAGTAGAAGAAGAGCGCCATGCCCCGGACACCTGCGGACAAAGCAGCGGTGTCGGGAGCATGGCTCTGCTTTTTGACGGGGGTGGGGGTGGGAGGGGGCATAACCATGCTAAAGCGGGGGAGGGGGGGGTGTCAACCGTCCCAGGCTCCCATCGCCACAACCCTGACAGGCCCATACGCCTGTTTTTCCTGAGTGTGCAGGAGCTGGGAGAGCTGGGGGAGGGTGTGTGGTCTCCGTGGAAACAGGCTGCCTTTGCCCATCTACCTAGGTTGCCATCTCCAAAGTCAGTGCCCTTCTCGGTGTGGATCTGTGGGTCGGTGTAGAGGTCGCCCACACCCTGGATGTCCACCACGATCAGCTGGTGGCCGGAACGCTCAAAGGTGAAGTGGCTGAAGGCCTGTGGGGGAAGGAAGGAAGAGGTGACAGGAGACCAGGCTGTGGGCACTGGCCAGCCACCACTCGGAGCGAGGCCGGATGAGGCAGCTCCACCCACGGTGGGGCCTTCTCTGCACAGAGGCGCTGCTTAGAGGACAGCGGAGAAAGGGGTCCTGTCCAATGGGCAGGGGCCTCAGGGGCTGACAGAGCCGGAGGAGTCAAGGGTGCCCTTGGGAAGCCCCACCGGCTTGAGGGCCGCAGGGGGGAGACCCTCCCCACAGGGACCCCGCTCCAGGGCCTCACCTGCGGCGTCAGGCGCGCGTCATCACGGACGAAGCCCGAGTTGGAGTTGTACTTGGTGTACTTGCCCTCGATGTAGTGCTCCAGGTGGAAGAGGGGCGAGCCCGGCCTGTCCTTCAGCTCCACCACACACATCTGCACGATGTCCACCTGCGGGGGCGGGGCAGGAGGTCAGGGCCCGGCGGCAGCTCCTCTGACAAGAGGCCGGGCCGCCCGCAGCGCTCCGAGGCACAAATGCTGCCTGTCCCCAGAACCCACTGCCCCTTTCCTCTGGGAATGGAAACCCATGCCATGGCCCGAATGTGTTCCCCTCCCCGAATTCATGTTTTAGTCCAGTGGTTCCCAACATGGGGTACATGCCCCACAGGGGGGCAATTTGAATTTTAAGGGGGGCAATTTGAGAATGAGTTATTAAGAGTGAAATTTTGCACTTTTTATGGTTCTAGGGGCCTCATAAACAGTACATAAATATATATTTTGACACATTTATGCATTTCAGTTCTCTATTATAGTTTTGAAACTTTATTTTATCACTTCATATTATTATTTTTAACAATTTCTAGTGATCTCTTCCTCAGTACTTCAACTGTCCTTTCGTTCTTTTATTTTTCTCTTTCATGGGTGCCATGTTCTTTGGAAGCTTGTTTAGACCAAGTTAATGGCTTTTTAGGCTTCCTTTATGTGAATAGGAGCTCACTTTTTGAAGAATAAGAATTCTATGTCACGGGGGGAAAGCATCAGGATTTTAGAGATGCTTAGGTGGGGCGTGGCCAAAAGAAGGTTGGGAACCACTGGTGTAGTCTTACCTTCTAAGCAGTGGTTCTCAACCTTCTGGCCCTTTAAATACAGTTCCGCATGTTGTGGCCCAACCATAAAATTATTTTCGTTGCTACTTCATAACTGTAATGTTGCTACTGTTATGAATCGTAATGTAAATATCTGATATGCAGGATGGTCTTAGGCGACCCCTGTGAAAGGGTCGTTCGACTGACAAAGGGGTCGCGACCCACAGGTTGAGAACCGCTGTTAAGGCGATGGTATTAGGAGGTGGGCCCTTTGGGAGGTCATTAGGCCAGGAGGGTGGAGCCCTGATGAGTGGGATGGTGCTCCCTCCTTCCACCGTGTGAGGTCCCAGCCAGAGTGCTGGCTATGAGCCAGGAGGCCCTCACCAGAGGCGACCATGTCAGACTCTGATCTTAGACTTCTCAACCTCTAAAACTGTGAGGACTGCATTTCTGTTGTGTATAAGTTACCCAGTCTGTGGCATTTTGTTGTAACAGGCCCAAGTGGACTGCGACAACCCCCAACCCTGACTTTTAGCAAGAAGACACTGCTGGGCTGGCCTTGCCGCTAGGTGTAGCCATGTGACCGAGCTCAGGCATCAGTCCTGCTGGCTGCTTGGAGTGTAGCGCTCCGGAGGCGCCCAGGAGAGTGCATGGGACCGAGCAGGCGCTCACACAGCGGGAGCCCGGCACTGCACTGCAGCCGGGCAGAGGCGGGCGCCCTTTCCTCGAAGGCCCACAGGCAACAGGAGCTTCTGCTTGGCCTCCTCTCTCAACACCTGGGGCTCATGTGGAGACGCCACCTGGCAGGGGCTTGGGAAGCCTGGGTTTCTGCGCCCTGGCTCCATCCCTGCCTGTTCAGGCAGGTCACTCAACCCCTTTGGGACCTTGTTTCCCCAGGAATAGATATCCATTCCCCTCTCCTCCTTCTGCTTTCTCTTGGGAGTCACAATCTCAGTCCCAGAAGGACCCACATTCCTGGTTCTAATGGTGGGCAAATAGCTCAGGCCTGCCCAATCTGCATATTTCCTTCCCCTGGCCATTGTGATTGGTTCAGAGACAGGTACCCGATTTAATCAGGGCCAGTGAAACCCAGTTCTGAGACTTTCACTAGAACTTCTGGGAAAACAGGTGCTGTTTTGCCAGGATTGCTGGGAGAACAGAAAGGAGGCTGCAGCTGCTGGTGGCCGGCATGCCGCTACAAGTCGAGAGCTGCCTGGGAGTGATGCCAACTTGAGATCGAGGCAGATTCCCAACAACCTCAGCTTGCTCCTGGACCCAGCCATGCCTGTGGTCGGTGCTACTTCTCAGTCCCCTGAGGCCATACATTTCCTTTTTGTATTAAATCCTTTTTGGGTTTCTGTCATTTGCAAACAAAAATCCTGGCTATCAGATCCCATCTGTAAATGGGATGAAAACATTCCAACCTGGCTCCAAGCGCTGCTTTTGGGAATAAACAGCTCTGCACATGCAGCACCTGGCCCTTTGTGCTCGATAAATGGTGGCTGTTATTAGCTACTATAGTGAAGGCCGTGAAGGAGGGAACCTGTGGCTGGCACCACCATCACCTGGTCTCCGGACACTGTCCCTGGACACCTGGTGGGGGCAGGTGGCAAGGAGGGGGCCACACACCTGCTTGGGGGGCTTGTGCCGATTGTACTCCTCTCCCCAGAGCTTGGCCTCCATCTGTAGACGCACGTCCTCAAAGTACACGTTCCTGTCCACCGGCTCAATGTAGCGCTTTGCCACGTAGTTGGAGGCGCCCTTCCACTGCTGGGTGTGCAGGAAGTTGGACAGCTTCTTCCTGGGGAGGCAGCGGGGGGCTGGCCTGGGCATGGGCTCATCAGGGACCAGGCCCTGAGTCCTCCGGATGAGGAGACCTGGCTGAGCCAGGAACAAGACGCGGGAGGTGGGAGGGGCTTCCCTACTGCCCTGCATCCTTCAAAGAGCTGGGCAGGGGACTTAAGGGACTTTGGTAAAGGTCTCCTAGCCCAATCCCTTGGCCTCCAAGGACCAGAGCTGAGATGCGTAGGATACTATTGAGCTCATCACCCCACAACCAGGCCCAATCTATGGTCCAAGGGAGAGTTGATGGAGCAGTGCTTGGGCTAAAGAAGCACAGACCACTGACTCCATCCCTACGCGGAAATGGCACAATGCCCTTGCCCTCTGGTGCCTGAGGAGCCTGGGCGGGGCCCTCGAGAACCAGCTGTCACTTACGTCCGGAAGCACTCCCTCATCGCTCCGCGGCCGAAGGGCTGAAAGACACACAGGGAGGGCCGTCAGTCCCCGTGCCCACCAGGAGCAACCCTGAGTGAGGAGCTCTCCCGGGGGTGGCACCCACCAAATGGACCTCATCTCGATCCTTCGATCTGCCCCTCCCACCCCCCGTCCTGCATGGCAGCACCGAAGGCTGGAAGAACTGCCGGCCTGGAGGCTGCCGATGGGAGACCCCGTTCCCTGACCCAGCAGAACCCCTCGGGGGGGAAGGTGTTATGGGGCGATGGAGTGGGAAGACAGTGCATGCGGAGGGATGTGTGTCCAGCCCTGTCTGCAACAGAACCCACATGTCCACCAACAGTACAGTGAGTCACATGGGTTCACGTGGAGAAATACTGCACAGCAGCGAGAATGAAACTTTCAGTTCCAGCAAAACCAGGTACAAAGCTCACAGACAAAATGTTGAGCGCAAGAAGCCGTACTGAAAGCACCCCTACAAAAACGGGGTTCAACTGACCTAGGGCGACAGGGTCAGGCCGGGGCTGACCTGCAGGGGCAAGGGGGAGCGACGGCTGAGGGCTCCAGGCGCTGGGGACATGTGCTCGCTGGGAAGCCCCTCAGGCTGCACGCGTTTCCGCTGTGCAATGCACTGAAGGCCTTTCCCAGTCCCCCCGCCCCAGAGCAGGAGGCGCCGTCTTTTGCAATCTATTTCTTTCTTCAAAAGGCTGTGGCCAGCCACAGAATTTGTTTCAACTCAGTAATAGGTGGCAACCTGCAATTTTACAACTATTTGCAGTCAACTGATTTTCAACAAGAATGCCAAGAAGGATATTTTGATAACAATGAATATATGAAATGTCCAAAATAGGGAAACCTATGGAGACAGCAGGTAGCTTAGTGGTTGCCCAGGGCGGGGCAGATGGAACTGGGTACTGACTGCATTGGCTCTGTCGGGGTACCAGTCATGGCGGCGGCTGTGCCGAAAGCCCTGGACTGTACACTGTACATGGGTGTGTTGTGTGGTGTGTGAATTATCTCATAAAGCTGTTATAAAAAATTAAATATACAAGCCCTGGCCTGTTTGGCTCAGTGGATAGAGCGTCAGCCTGTGGACTGAAGGGTCCCGGGTTCAATTCCCAGTCAGGGCACATGCCCAGGATGTGGGTTCGATCCCCAGGAGGGGGTGTGCAGGAGGCAGCCAATCAATGATTCTCTCTCATCATTGATGTTTCTAACTCTCTCTTCCTTCCTCTCTGAAATCAATAAAAATTAAATATACAATACTTTAGAGAATCCCCCAAAGTTAAAAAAAAAAAAAAAAAGAGTGGATGGGGGGGACATGAACTGAAATCAGCGTGAGAGAAGCCCGCCCAGCCCTGCCCCCCGGGCTCGAGCACCCGCTCACCTGAGAGGCCATCTTGATCAGAACCTCGTCCTCCAGCCACTCCCCGGTGACAGCGTTGTACCTGCGGAGACAGCGCCCACCGTGCAGCAGCGTCACCGGGTCCTGTCACTGGCTACGGGTGAAAGGCCTTTCTGGGCTCCCCGCTGCCTCGGGATCAAGCCCACTTTCTACTCTGTGGCCCAGCGACCTCCTGGCCGGGTTTGTGGGACTCTCCCGCCCTCCCAGGCCCCCCCAGTGGCCTCCTTCCCTTTCCTCAAACACAGGTGCCCTGGGCACCGCGTCCCCTCAGCACGTCCTGTGTGCTTGGGCGGCTCCCCGCTGTGACGCCACCCAGGCAGGCCCATGTCTGTCCTGCTCACGAGGGGCCTGGGTGGTGAATGCTTATAAATGCACGTTGGATAAATGACCGAGTAAGTAAACGTCCTTATTACCCGGCTACATAACCAACGGTGTGTCCCAGGACAGGAGGTGGCAGTGCCCTCGACCTTGCCGGCACTGTGGGCAGCCCAGTCCGGGGCGCTGGGTGCCTCTGAGTCCAGCAGGAAAGGGGCGCTGGGTGCACAGCCAGCCTCTCCCTTCCCAGGAGCCCGCTCTCCACCAAGCCCGTCTGCCCCAGGCCTGGCTGAGCCTCCAACAGGTTTGCGGGGTAGAAAGTGCCTCACTCAGTCACTCCCTATCCCGACTCATCGCCCAGGGCCCAGGTGTTCTCAGCTCCACAGAGGCCCCCCGGGGCACAGCCACGAGAAGGCCGCCAGCCCCAGTGAGAACAGCCTCCCAGAGCTGACACCTCCAGGAGGAAGCACGAGGCCTGGGAGGTAGCCTCCCCCAGGCCTGAGGGGGGAAGGCTCACCCCTAGCTCATGGCGGGTGTTATGCTCAATAAATAATAGCAATGATCGTTATTATTTCTACGTAGAGACCACGGTAAGGGAAACAGCCTTCCCTCACCTTCAAAGGAGACTGCAATCTGAGAGGCACTGGAAGGGCGGGTGGGGGAGCAGCATCCTCTCTGTCCTTCAGGACCACGGGCACCATAAAGGTCAGCGCTGCTCAAAGCACCGTGTCCAGTGTGCTGGCTGCTTAAACAACTGCCTTCAGCCTCCGCAGCAGCCCTGTGAGCCTGGCAGTTACTGCACCCACTTTCTTGATGGGGAAACCGAGGCTCCGAGAGGTGAAGTACTCTGCCTGAGAGCAGGATTCAACCAGAACCTTGCTCTTAGGCAGCCTGGGTCCAACCCCGTGAACGGGACGTCTGCCCCAAAGGGCCGGCTTGCATCAGCTCTTTCAAAACTGGGAACCCAGGAGGCAGCCTCCAATTCAGAAACCTCTGGAGGTCCCGGCATCAATGCTTGACCACTTCCCAGCCAGGACCGGCTAAGGCAGAGCCTTTGGTGAGGAACTAAACAGTTTGGCTTGGTCCCTGGTCTCAGGTCCTTGCGAGGCTCTGGCACACACAGAGCCAGCCCAGGATATGGTCTTGCTTTCCCGGGGCCTCCCTGTGTGGCCTCGGGGCCTGGGCCTGAGGCCATGTCTCACCAGCCAGCCACCACCTGCCCTGGCAGGCAGGAGCGGAGCGCACAGCCTCCCCTGCAGGCCCCACCGCGCTGCCCTAGGCTGGCACACACCCCAGCCTGGGAGGTGGGCCTCTGGCGGTGGAAGGGGGTGCAGGCCAGGCTCTAGTACCTCCGTGCTGCTGAAAGGTGGAGAGGGCTCCACTGCTTCTGCATCCGCTTCCCCTTCTGGCAACAGCACACCCATTTCCTTTTGGGAACCCTGTCCTCCGTTTTCAGAACATGCGGACGGGTGAGGCTGACCTCAGCACCCTCTGGCTTGTGGCATGTGACTAGGCCTGGCCCATCAGAGCAACACTCCCTGGTACAATGATTGGTTCAGAGATGGGCATATAACCCAGCCAGGTCACTGAGGTTCAAATATGGAACTTTTGTTTTTAAAAATTTGAGCAAGAAAAGGTCCTTTTCTGCAGGGTGAGATGAATAGCGGGGCTCCCAGCCCCTCTGAGCTGCTGATATAAGAGAGTCTATCTGAGGTCAAAGCCGAAAGCCTCCTTGGAGCATCTGGAACCAGCCGTGCCTGAAGCCCACACACAGAGCGGGGCAAAAGTAGGCTTATGGTCGTTTGTATGGAAAACAATACAATAGTTAATAATTAATAATAACACAGGAATAACTCTGTGTTTCACATACAACTGTCAATCTGATTCTGTCCCTGCCTGTACATGAGCCAAACGTTCCCTTTTATCCTTAAGCTGCTGTGAACTGAGATCTGTTACCCACATATGAAACAGAGTTCTGACGAATTTGAAGGCACTGGACTGACCCTTGACAAACCTCTCTCCCTGGGGCAATAAGGGAACTGAGAGGCTTGGCTCATTCAGGGCTGGAGGGGTCTACAGAGGTCACGGGACAGGGGCAGGCTCCAGGGCAGGTCCATGAGTCTCCTAAAATTATGAGCAAAATTAACATATGTGTGCAACTTTCTGAGATGGCCCTCGTCGGGTTCTCAGACACGCCCCCTGCCCAGGCTTTCCTGATGACTAGACACAGCGCCTGGAACAGCGCCCGGCACGGAGAGACTCAGGAAGGGCCCTCATCTCCACCGTCCTCTTTATCCTTATTGTATCAATGGTGGTGTTTGTGGTTTTTTGTGCTGTTTTTCATTCTTCCTGAAACCCCCTGAAAATACTCTTCCCTCCCTTTGCCTTCCAAGCAGGGATCACACTGGCTGATATCTGTAGTATTCCCTTCTCCTTGATCTCCAAGGGGAATCAGGTCTCACTGGGAGCAGAGCAGGACCCAGGAGTCCTTGGGGTCACACAGCCGCCCCAACAAGTGCTGACCTGTGGCGCGTGGCATACTCGGTGGCGATGTCCTCCAGGTGGAACTCAGCCCAGGGGTCGGGCATGTGCTTGGCCTTCTCGACGGCATGCTTCCAAGCTTCCTGCAGAAGGCAAAGGGCGTGTCAGCCAGGGGCTGCGGCACAGGGAGGTCCAGCCCCTCCAGCCCTGGAGTCCCGGGGCCCCCCACCCCAGGGAGGCATCCGTGAGAGAGAAACAGCCCCATCCACCATCCTTTCAGGAACCTAGTCCCCGAAGGACCCTATCAGCTCATGGGCACAGCCCTCCCGGGGTTCAGGCAGGCAAGATTGCTAACAGCGAGTGCTGGCCAGGGTGCGGGGAACTGGGGGTGCCCCACATGCTGCCCGTGGGTGTGAGCCTGCTCTCAGAGGTGACCTGGTAACGTCAGACGATAGAAAATGCAATTCTTTATTTTCACTCAGAGTTCTCCGTCTAGGAACGTGTCCTACAGCGAACAAACGCAGTGTGCAAACCTGCCCGAGAGGCGCCATGGCTGCGGCTGTGTGCACCCATTTTACTGCCCGGAATGAAAGTCAGAGACAACATGACCCTCTCGGCTCAGGGTTCCTCAACACCATACAGAAGGTAGGTCGCCTTTACATAACGTAGCGCTAGGTGCTTAGCGACAGGTTCCCATTGATGTGCCAAGGCCTGGGGACCGGGGAAACCACCGCCTGTGGTGCCCTCCCTGCCGTGGCGGTGACGACTACAAACACCATCCCATCCAGAACTTTCACGGCTGCTGAGGGCCAGGCTCTTTGGGAACCACCCAGGAAGATGACGAAGCCACATGATGAACAAGAGAGAATTCTGATTCCCAACTGTCTCAGGGTACAACCCCATTTGTTTTAAAAACCTCATTTTGTTGCTTTTACATAACCTCGAAGTGGAATCCTTCCCTGCGCCCACCAACAAGCACTCCCGACACCCACTCTGGTGATCCTCTCCCTCTTTCCTGATGAACCGGAACCTTTGCCCTGTGGCCACCACAGCATCAGAGACAACTCCCTTCCAGGCCCCAGGCCGGAGCCAGGGGAGGAGCCGGAAGGCGGCTGGACAATGCCGGGCATGGCAGCCCACCCGCTTCCAGACCTCCTCACCGCCCCCCCCCCCCCCCCCGCCCCATCCCTCAGCCATCAGACCAGCCCTGCAGAAGCCCGGCCTCCCACAGACTCGGCCCAAACGGGGCAGCATCCTGCCCGTGCCTCCCCCGAGCCCATCGCTGGTCCTGCTCAGAGGAGACAGGGCCGAGGAGCTGAGCCTTCCAAGAGCCAGACAGACAGACAGACAGGCACACACACGCACATGCATACGCACACGGACACATACACACAGCCCAGGGCTCCTTGCTGGGCTTTCTAACATTTCCAAAGTCAAAAAATAAAGCCTGTAATTTTTTTCTTTTAATTTGGCAGCTAATTCACATTTAACAAAAATACTTGGGGAAAAAAATACTTGGGAAAAAAGAAAAAGAAAAACAACTAAAAAGCAAAAAGGAAAAACAAACCTGCCACAGGCCATCTACTGACAGCAACTATCATCACTGGTTTAGACTAACTAGTTCTTTCCAGATCCTTTCCATGCATTAAAAAAAGAAAAAGAAAAAAGTTTTTATTGATTTTTAGAGAGAGAGGAAGGAGAGGGAGGGAAATATCGATGATAGAGAAACATCAACATTGATTAGCTCCTCCTGCACACCCCCTCCTGGGGACTGAGCCTGAAGCGGGCATGTGCCCTGACTGGGAATTGAACCTCCTGGTGCATGGGTCGAGGCTCAAACACTGAGCCACACTGGCCAGCCCCGTGCATTTTTTAAATAAGTCTGGAATGACACTGTCAGTTAATTTACAGCATTTCAGGAGCATGGGTCAATGGGACTTGGTGCTTTTAGTTAGTGATCTGGAGTTTTGTCCTGACTCCAAATGTGTCATCTGTTATCTATGTAAGACAGTGCAAGCACTGCAGAACTCTGAAGGAGGAAGCGGACGTGCTTTCTAACCCCCATCCCCCGCTCTGCAGGCGCACATGTGCTGCCTGTGTCCGACTTAACAGCACCTAGAATGTCTTTCCATGGCATGTGGACACAGGCTGGTCGACCGCACTTCCCTCCATGGCTGTGAGATATATAATGTGTATATGCACCTCGAGGTGTTTCTCCCTCGGTTCTTGGGCAGCGGGATCCTCTCCAACACTTCCTAGTGCAGACAGGGCTGGAGTGACATCCTCGTGTGTGGACGTGCAAGATCTGAGAAGTGTGATTGCTGGATCACGTTTAAATCTACAATGTGAAGCTTTCCTCCAAAAAGGTTCTCCTAAGTTATACTCCAAGAGACAGCAAACATATCATTTAGAAATTTTAACACAAACATGACTGTGAATTTACAAGGTAGTTGGCATAAGGATCCATGGTACGGTTTATTGACTTGGCCATTCCCTTTGATTCACCACAGGTAGACTTTGAGCTCTTGACTGGTTTTTCCCTGTTACAAATAGCCCTGCAGCTGACATGTTTACAGCTAAGGGAGTTTCTGAATTTCTGTACGCTACAGAAGGGAAGGCAGCGGCCACCTGCCCCGCCTGCCGGGAGCCTGCGGGGTGCCAGCAGCCAGTAGGCTCTTTCTGAGCGTGCCTGTCCGGGTGCCCTGCCCTGTGCCTAACACACAGCTTTCCAACCGCGCCTCTTTCACCTGGGGACTCAAACGCTCCCCAAAACACCAAAGACAGGGGCCCCACATTAGATTATGAGTACCCACAGAAATCACCTCCTGGCTGGAGGCTGTGGCACAACCAAAAACAGTCAAGGAGAAAAGAATATTACAATTACAGTGTTATTCTACAGCATGAAACTTGGCGAAAAAGCAAAACCCAGAAAAGACACATGCCATGCCTTGTTGGCAACAGATGGGTTTAATGCAACTGCATTTTATAAAAACACAGTATAAAAAGTCCTATCCTCAGACATGGTTCCCTTGACTCCCGTTCCCACCCAGCGCTGATTAGCTGTTGGAATATCCATTTCCTGTTTACAAACAACGAAGAATGTTTTGACTACCAGTGGTCAACTTTTTCTTGCCCCCAAACCTGGGGTAGCAATGTTCCCAACAGAAACAGTGGCTCCCTGAGGTCACAGTGCGCACTCCAGGTGAGACACCCCTGCCTGCGCTGAGCGTCACAGGTGTACTATTTATCATCAGGTTAGGAAAAACAGGCGTGTATGGGTGCCTGGGAAGTGAGTCCTCTCAGACACTGTGAAGGCAGTGGGAGTGGGTACTGCCGCCACTGGTTATGAAACGTCCTCGCTGGCGTGGGACCCAGTGTCTGACCACCCCCGGGTGTGCGCAGGGGAGCTGGCCCAGAGAGGCGCACGCTGTGCTCGGTGACGTCCGGTCGGTGACAGTGGTCCCACAGGGTTACAATGGAGCTGAGATTCCTACCAGCGGTTGTGCCATCGTAGTGCTTGATGATGACCATACGTGACTATGCTGCTCGTTTATGTGTTTACGATATACAGTTTTTATTGTTATTTCAGAGTGCACTCTTCCTACTTATAAAAAGTACACCTCCTGTTTACCGCATCTCTCGTGCTCGATTTAATCTCATGTTGCTTTCTAAGTTCAGCCCGAGTGTACAGTGCTCACGAAGGCTGCAGCAGTGGGCAGGGTGTCGCTCCTGCACACTCACTCACTGCCACCCACAGCGGCTGCCAGTCCCGCAGGCTCCCCCATGGTAAGTGCCCTAAAGGGTGTACCACCTACAGTATTCAGTACCAGCTGCACAGGCACACAGCTGGGAGCACCAGGCTCTACCATGCAGCCTGGTGTGTAGCAGGCTGTCCCCTCCAGGGTGTGTAAGCGTCTCTAAGATGTTCACACACTGACGAAATTGCCTAACGAGGCGTTTCCCAGAACGCACCCTGTTGTTAAACCACACATGACTGTGCTTGCACACAGCCGTTAAAAAGATCAAGGTGCTGACATGGGCAATCTCTAAGACTTCTTGTTTAGGGAAAAAAGTAAGTTGCTACATAATGCAAATCATATAACCCCATTTAATGGTGGCGGAAACCCATAAGTTGCTATCATAGATTTCTAAGGGTGTATGTGTCTGCAAATCTATATATATAAAACCCTAAGCGACCGAAAGACTGGTTGCTATGACATGAATGCAGGAGCTGCCCCCTGGTGGTCAGTGTGCTCCCACAGCCAACCTCCCGCAGTCTCTCCCCCAGGCCAGCTGCCCCCCGCCCTCCCATCAGCCCTGATTGCCGGCCAGGCCAAGGGATCCCACCCGTGCACAAATTCATGCACCAAGCCTCTAGTACATACATAAAAGTCTATTTACATATAACTGCATTTAAAAAGGTCTGAAAAGTGACTTCCACCAAACTGATACATGATTCTCTCTGGGAGCAGAGGATGCGAAGTTAATGGAGACCAGTGTTCTCTGCACTGTGTGTGTTTTAGCTTTGAGACTGTCTTAGGGATCGCACATGTAAATCAAAGCCCACAGAGGCCACTGGGAAGATGATTCTGCAGGCCCTGCAGCTCTCACATTCTCTAGTTCTGAAGACCCCAAAACTCATCTATGAGGGCTAATGAACCTTGCACAGCAGGACTTGGGGTTTCATGAAAAGGAAAGCAGAACCTTGCCTAGAGAACAGAAAGGGTTTGGTTCTTCAAAGCTGGAGAGCACAAAATAAAAATGTAACAGAAATAGTGAAAATAAGTCTCCGGGGGTGTCAGGAGGAGGCTGGATGTGAGTCATGTGTCTGCAATTCCTTTGCCACCCAGGGTGTCGTGGCTGCTGTCTGATGTCACTCACTGCCTCCAGATGGCACAGAGGACCAGTGGCTGCTGGAGGCCTTCTCCTCCAAACAGCAACTGTTACATTCGCCAACTCGCCAACTGGGCGTTACAAAGCGTGTTTTTCCATCCTCACTTTCGTGACAAAGAGCTGTGGCCCCACCCCTCCTAGCCAACAGGAAACCATGCCCAAGGACAAATCAAAGAAGTGGGAAGAAGTGAGGATGCAGTCACACTCTGGGATGAGAAGAGGCCAACAGTGCTGACCGCTGCCCCACCCT